GGTGGAGAAACTTGCTTACAGGGATTGCCTGTAATTGATTGTTCATGCAGACATGGGAAAGCAGGAAGAGCTTGACAGTGAAATGATCGAAAGACTTTCACCTTGCACTGTTCATGACGACGTTGGTCGTATTACAGATCGTTAAACCAAGATCATTTTAACAAACGATCTACGTGCAGGCGATGTTTTGCGCAATTATTTGATTAAATCTTTCATCCATTACGGAAAGAAAAGAGAAATAAAATTTCTTTTGAACAAAGATAGGTGATTATTATCTTTATTTTTCTTACGAATGATCAAATACGTAACATCATTCGCATGCACAAAATTCAGTAATTGTTTTATATCGAAGAGATGAGAAAAAAATTTGTGAAGACAGATTATGTATTATATATATTGCTTTCACGATCTATCATTGTATTGATGAAACGTTGAAGATAAGCCAAAAAAATTGTCAAGTAACATCAATTAAATATTTTAATTCACAGTCGTAATTTCACTTCGATTAATACTATTTTCAAAATGGTTACTTGAGAAGTTTTACTTACTAAGAAAAGAATTTGAAAATTTTATTCTCAATCATTCAATTTTTGTGATTGAAAATTGACTGAATATTTCAAAAATAAGTATCATTGTTGTTCATGTAATATCGTTACGATACGAAATTGCTATCACGTTGGTTAATACAGACAAGGAAAGGACTCATTTGACACAGTAGCTGAAACATAAATGATTCGATTGATACAACGACAGAGATAATCATAATTGAATAGAATAATTAACAGAAGTGTTAATTATTGTGCATTATCGTCGAACAGTTGGGACAGATGCAGATGCTAATAATAACGTCGATCAACAATCAAAAGATGTTTTAACTTCGATTGAATTTTGTAAAATTGATGTATATATATTTCATCTGTCTACGATTATTTTATCAACACTAAACCGAAATGTATATACGATTAAATATAAATATTGCTATAAGCCAAATATTAATCTCGCTAAAAACACTTGCAAAAATCGTTAATAAAAAATCTAGAATCCATCAATTTGACGTAATCCCATTGTCGACAGATAAAAAAATAAAATCTACGAAATTCGATCAAAAAATTTCTTTTTTTCGAGGCCACAAATCGTTGACCATTGCGAACAATCTTTGAAACAAAAGCCAATATTAATTTATTAATCAAAAGCGCTTTACCTTTAATAATAAATCGAAAAATTTGAATCTTCCCGATTTCAATATCGAGACAAATGAAAAAAAAAAAAAAAAATGAAATTTTCCAAATCTAGTCGAATTTGCCTAAACCTCTTTTCGAGAAAAATAATTATAGAGTGTAATTCGAAATGGCAATAAATAATTGGACGGAATAATTGGATAGGGGAGTGCATCAATATTTCGAACGGTGTGAACTGTTAATAATCCAATTTATCCGGAAATCCACTTCTGCAAGACAAAGTTGTTTCTGTAAATACCGTAACCGCGAAATCCACCACGCCACGAAAGCGGTTGTGGAAAGGGAGTGGATATAATCGAAGTACAATTCTCTCCCATCGTAGCGGAAATGAAGTGGTTATGGTGGCGCCACTACGGTTTCAGATATTAATTAGCGCTTCCTGGTAATTCAATATGGCGGCAGTTTTTATAATGGGGGAAGAAGAAGGAATACACTTGGCAAATGTAATTTTTAATATCGGGATTGTTAGTTGCGTGGAACGCGATGAATTTTTACGGAGGGTGTAATAATAGGTAATATTACATTCTTGTCGCGCTCCAATTGCCTTGGTGAAAGAGAGGAAAGGATACGGAGGAAAGAAGAAAAATTAGTTTATAATTTTAATTTTTATCGTTTAAGGGTAAAGAGAAGATCGAGCTACGATAACCTTTTTCTTTTTTTAATAAGTTTAAATTATCGATTAATAATTTGCATAATTTGGTACTAATGGATCGAGGTGATCCATCAATGATGGAAGAGGAATATTTGATAGGAAATTTTAATAATGTGATTGTTTCCTTTTTATGCTGATTTAAACTGATTTTTTAATTTTATTTTTTAATTATTTAATTAAATGAAATAATATTCTTATCATAAATAAAATTTTTCATTGAAAAATCGCAACATTGCAAATATTAACTTCCTCGAAATATTATTTCTTTAAAAAAAAAAGAAAAAAGAGTTTTGTATCTCAGACGTGATTCATGACAAGTCATTTATTTCTTTCTATATATAATCGTACAAAAGAACTATTGATTTACAAATTGAAGCGCAATTATTAATTTTTTTAAATCTATAAGTCCATTACTCATTTCCCTTTACATCACATACATTCGTTAAATTTATTATTCTAAACTGTATACTTCGAAGAAGATTGGAATTCGTAAGATTACTAGATACTAAGATTCGTACGTAAAAAAACTTCAACTTGATAACAACGAAATAAAATTAATCATTTTCCAAGCAAATCATTCATTTCTCAGATATACCAATAAACAATTAAAAAAAAAAAAAAAGACACGATCCTCAATCAAAAGAGAATGAAACTTTTAATTATATATCTATATAAATATAAATTATATAAATATATATATATATATTATATTATAATTATATAATTAAATATATATATAATTATATATTTTAATTATATTTAATATAAATAATTAATTATAATCCAGAGAATCAAAGTATCGCGAATCTAAATTCACGATAAAATCCACGATTGACCGCCCCTATTTTTAGAAGTTTTTCAATCACTTTTATCATTCACGCAGCCGGAAGAAATGCTATTTGCTAGATTGTGCAACGCTTACGACAAACGTATCTCGTGGCAGTGGTATCGGTGTAAGAGTAATTGCTTCCAATTTATTACATCGTCCATGAGGACTTCGAGTCCGCAGATAGAAACGTCGATTAATACGTGTCACCGTTCTATCAACCGAGGCGCACGATGACGTGCACGATCGTAACCGGAAGCCAAATGTATCGAATCGATCATCCTACGACAAAGACGGACTATTCGTATCTCGTTTATTAATATAAACGGGGGATAAAATATATATATCCTCGCTTAATTTCACACCGAATCATCAACAACATTGACGTAATAATAATAATAAGTAATTAGTAATTAAAATAGCAATAGGCGAAACATCATACATCGTTGTCGATAAAATCAATATTAATTTTCCAGGAAATACATATATATATTAAGTAACGAGAAATTTCAATGGTTTTATTAATATTTTCCGGCTTGGGAAGGAAGAATAATAAGAAAGAAGTAAAACATAATTTCTAACATCGAATAAATTTTCCTCGCAAGACCTGATATTTTATTTCACGTCATTGCAGCGATACCTAAACGCGAGGAGAGTTCGCAAAGTTGGGAGGGAAGGTTAAATCTGCTGGATCAGAAACAATCGATCGTGGCACCGTTTCGACGGTATACATAAAATCAGGCGATAAAAACAAACGAATTGTGCAGCTGAGAGAATCCGCTGACTTTTACTAGCTCCATCCTTACGAACGACTTACCGTTATGGCCAAGGAACGCGTCTCTCTCCATCGATCTCTCTTTATCGCGTTACTCTTCCTCTTAACTCCTTTGTGTATATACATATATATATACACACATGTACATCTCTTTCTCTCTGCTTCCTCGAACAATTCCAACTAAAAAGAATCATGGTACCACGATCCTCTTGCTATTAAAAGAGAATTGAACGATACTTGTTCGATCGTTTCGAAAATAAAGTTCATATCATCGAAAGGAGGTATACCCGAGAGAATTGAAACAGGGACGAGAGCTTCGACATAATAAGGATATGCGAAATATCCTTAAGATCAGAGGCAGGCGCAATCGATTCGAACTGGAAAATTGCTCGAAAATCGGGGAAGGAAGAATATCGGTGCAACGCCTCGAATCATTTCTTCGATTCCCTTAACGATACACGCGGCTGAATCGATAATCCAGCTTCCAATTTCGCATCTCCGTGGTCACAGGAGACACGGATCGAGTTCGCCTCTCGTGGGACAGATCCAGATCTATCCGGTTTGATTGATGGGGCGCGTGAAATAGGGGGTGGGATGGAAACGTAAAGGACGAGGGAGGTTCTTTTTCTTTCTTTTTTTTTTTTTCGATTTAGCGTGGAATAATCGGCACGGTTTCAATGTCAGCTTGCTTCGAGAAAGTCGATCAGCCGATTCTTCGCGCTGTTTGCAGGGGGATCCTCTCGGATTACACGCGGAACACGAAAAACGCTTATTACCATGCAAATGTATTCTTGCTTCCGTTCGCCTGATTTTAAACTTGTCACAGATTCTCTCCTCTTTTCTCCACCCCCTGCCTCCTACCTTTTTATATCTTATATCATCCGCTTTTGAAGAGGAATTATACCGGCTGGTAAACGAAATTTTTATTAAAAATGTATACTAAAGAAATGAATGGATTGACCGAGTTTTAAGAGGAGGAAAAAGGAATTGATAGGATTGAATCTTTAGAATTATAATATTGTATTTGTATGTAGCTCATAAAAAGCACACATTTACTTTTGTTATTGGTTATAGTTTGTTATTGAAAATATTTTGACGAGAATCCAACGAGAAGAATTGAAATTAACTCGATATAATATGTATCGTTTGAAGAAAAGAAGAAGAAAATAGAACAGAGGAACCTTCGTACTTTTTCTTTTCTTTCTTATTACGATGGATACCATTCTGTTTCTCGAGAGATGAACAAGATAGCAAGAAAGAAAGTCTGATTTCTGCGAATAGCATGTCAATATTAATCGTTTCTTTCGTGTAAAAGACATTTAAACGTTATTCTATTATTTCACTCGATTTCATATAAAACACGCCAATTTTTAAAAAAAAAATATCCCTTCTCATCCAACGGGAAAATGAATCCGACGACGAAAATATTAATCGAGATCGATCGTTCTTTATTCGAGTTTCGAGTTTTCAAAAAAAAGAAAAAAAAAGAAAGAAAGTGATCCGACTCACCTGGTCGACGATCTCCGTCAGGTCGTGCAGACTTATGTTGTAAATGGCGTTCCTGGAACAAAGGGAAAAAGAAACGTTAAGTCCTCGTCTCGTAAATCCTTCGCCTAATCTTTCCGCGCATTCTTTCGCCTGTTCGCACGATTTCGAGTGGGGATAAGCATTAGTAATTACGACAAGCTTGATGGAAGAACGGGGAGGGGAAAAATGGGGAGAGGGGGGGAGAAAAGCGCTCGAATGCTTCTCGCGAAACGAATAAACATTCGGCCCACGTTTAATCTCTTTTCGCTTTCTTTACAAGCCGAACGTTTGGAAAGGAGATGTCGCCCGATTTTGATTAAATTTCCATTTGTTTGATATCTTTCATCTTCATGTTTTTCGAGATCTTCCTGCGTTTGCCAAAAATTTTACGGTTCGTTCGAAATGATGGTGATTATCGATCGTTTGGAATAAGAGAAAGATATTTAATTGGTTACTTTTTTCTTTTTTTCAGAATTCGAGAAAGCTAAACTTTTAAAATATTTAAAAAAAGATTCTTCGATACGAAAATGAAACGAAAATAAAATCAAAAAGGAAAATTAAAATTCGACGAAAATATATTTACTTTAAATAATAAAATTAAACAAATTTAAGTTAACGTATAGTATATATCACGGGAATAGATCATTATAATCACAAAATATATTATTCATAAATGAAATTCGAATTTTTTGCGTAAAAATCGTGAGAAGAAATTAAAATTTTTGTCCTCAAAATCCACTCAGAAAATAGAGGGAGCCATCCCATTGAAGTCGCTTTTTGAATTATCCCGATATCTCAATCGGTTGCCGAGATATAAGGATTCAAAGTGTCCATAGCGCTTAAGACGGTACAAAAATTATGAATGGGGCCGCGACCCACTGACCTACTTATTTTTCCTGGAAATGCGTACTATGCATTTCTAGGAATCGCGTCTGCCGTTTGTCTGCAGTTTGGGATAGGTCAGCGAGACGAGGCGCGAGCGAGAGGTCCGAATAAGCGATAAGGACGGAGATAGTAAACGATTAAAAATTACCTTTTGCTTTACACGACGATATCTCCGGAACCGGAAGTCGTATCGGGATAAATGAAAAAGCGTTTTAAAGGGCAAGGTTCCGCGCTTCCAATGATCTTTCATTCGTTGACCGGAAGTTATTATTTACAAAGTTATGGCGGTTCAAAGTTTTCTTAATTTTAATACGGTTTAATCGAGTTTTAAGATAAAATACACGATATACAAGAATAATTTGTTTTTGAACACGTATTATTAACAATGATTCACGATTTAAAAGTTATTTCTCTTGCTCGAAATAAGTTGGATTGTCATATCTGTTTGTGAATATAGTAACATTAATTAAGTGTTTGCGATCTGTTTATTTATAATTGTTTACTTTACAAAATAGTGATTCTAAATTTATTTAAATTGTGATTTTCTTTATATAAATTTTTATACAGATAAACTTCATTAAGAAAAATTTATATGAATTTTATTAATAAAAACAACAATTGTTTCATATTCATATTGTGTTAATATTGTTTTTTTATAAATAGCTTCTTATTAAATAAAACTATAACAATAATATTATTGCAAGATAAATCAATCAAACTATGATAATTAATAACATAAATAAATCAGAGTGGAACAGAATAACATTGTATCATAATTAAGTATATAATTATGATTTCTGTTTATCAAATATAGTGAGTTATGACATTCCATTCTGTGATGGAATATCAGGGATCGATTTCATCATAGCAAAAGGATTAATCATAGGTTTTGAAAATTGAGAAAATATGATCCATATATTTTCACGTAGACATATCTGGAAATAAATTTTCAAAAAGCGTAAATTTTTTTTTGATTATTTCCAATTTTAATAATCTAAACTGCTATTTAAGAAACAAATTCACACTGAAATCATTTATAACTCAATCTTAAACTTTTTTACAAACTTTTTTATCAAAGTCTATTCTTATCTATTATGTACAATATACGTGATTTTGACAGCTTTATAAATATGCTTTATAAATGAAAAAAATAAATTACAAATTATATATCTGGAAGAATTCTCCGAATAAAATATTTCAATATTCACAATTTGTTAAAACTGTTTTACGAATCTTTTAACTTTAACAATATTTAATTTCAACAATCCCCGACATTTTTCACTTTTAATATTGATTCAACCGTGCTTCTTTTTTTTATCATCGTCACACACAAGTTAATAAGTTCTCCTACTAAATTGATTAAGCTGAATATTAAGTTGGCCCAAGTATTAAGCTGTCCCTGATGTATCGCCTTTAATGCGTCACACGTAGCACAACATGGAAACTTTGCTCGCCCCTGTTCCATTGTAATTAGTTTATTTAATCGCGACAAAGCCGTCGCCACTTATCCTTAATGATCCAATCAATCGCTAACAATCTTTGAGATTCGTGAAACTTAATCCTCATCATAGTTCTAGCACAATGTAGATACGAGAATCGGTGCAACTAAGTGTAACGCAAAGTTCCACTTTCCAGAAGACAATTAAAAAGACAATATTTAATAATGCATTTAATCCCGTGTTTCATCATAATATTATTTAACGAGAAATATATTATTCGTGCACGAAAAATTATCATCACAATCATCTGTACAATATTATACAGTAAATTGTAGAAACATGGAGAAATTCGTGTACCATTGAATCGCACTTTACCTGCACGCCGCGCGTGATGTATTTGTTTCCATCGTTAATTGCTGTCAGAAGATGTTCGCACAAAAAAAAAAGACTCGAGGAAAAATACGCAGAAGGATAAAAGTTATTTTTTTTTTTTTTTTT